ATAAAATTTGGATTAAAAAAAAAAAAAAAAAAAAAAAAATACGTACATATCACACACACACACACACACACACACACACACACACACACACACACACACACACACACACACATAGCACACACACACACACTCACACATACATAAATCCTTGAGACAAAATGTAGCAGGCATGAAAAGCCAACAGACAGACAAAAACAGACATTCTTAACATTTGAACTAAAGTGACACTACCTCATTATCATCACCATCATCTCCTCCTTCACTATCATCATTGTTGATACTCTCATCTAAATGATGACATTTGCTATCACCAATAACATCAGCGCTGATATCCGAGTTGATTCAGGATTGATATCAGAGTTGATATCAGGATTGATATCAACAATATAATCGTTTGCGATGATATCATTTTTAGCGCGGATATCATGTTTTTTATCATCACCATCAGTTTTATTACTGTCGTTATCACCATGGTTATCATCGCAATCATTGTCATCATTATCATCGTATGGTGTTTGTATGCATTGGAATTTTGTCTGGGAGTCTGAATTAAGTTTTATCTCAATGAAATTAGTGTTATCATCATTATTATCATCATCATAATCACCATCATTGTTGTTGTTGTCACATCTTTTTACGTTTGTATTATGGAAAGATTGACGTTGATGATGATGATGTCGTAGTTGTTGATGATGATGATGAGGGGGAGGAAGAAGTGGGGAAGTGGAAGGAGAAGAAAACTGCAAAGTTATTAATGTCTGTGAGTTGGAGACAGTTAGTGATGTTGCTTCTTGCGATACTAAATCTGATGTTGTTGTCATTTTTGTTGTTGCCAATTGAGTTGATGTCTTTGTCGTTAGTGGCATTAATGTAGTTGATGTCGTCGTTGCTGACGCTATTGTAGGTGCAGTTGTCGTTGGTGATGTCATCATTGTTGTTCTCATTGCTGGTAATGCTGTCACTGGTGTTGCAGTTGATATGGTTGTTGGCGTTGTAATAATTGATGTAGTTGCTGTCGTTGCCAATTCAGTATAATATGTTGTTGTTAATGTTGTATTCTCGGCTGAAGTTGTTGTTTCAGCTAATGTCATCGTCGTTGCTGATGATGACAGCAATGGATCTGTTAGTGTTGATGTTGTTGTCGTCATCACATCTGATGATAATGAGTGATTTTCTGTTGTAAATGAAGGGGGTAATGATAATAATGATGTAGGTAGCGATGATGATAAAGATAGAGTCTCTGTTGATGATAATGATGTTGGTGATGTTGTTGATGATGATGTTGGTGCTGTAGATAAAGTTATTGTAGTAGCTGCTTCAGATAAATATTCCTCATGAATATTATTAGCAGCTAGGGTGATAGTAGTAGAAGATGTATCGTCAGCAACCAATGTTGCTACATTCACTTTTCCAGTATCAAATTCTTTGACCGTGTCTGTGGGGTTAGCTTCTCTATCATCTCCATCCATTTCTTTAATGTTTATTCAGATCTGTAGTGTAACTTTCATTAGGATTTATGTATAGAAATATGTGCAAAAATCAATTTTTATAAATTAAGTTTAATAATGATTTTACAAATTAATACTTAGATTTGAATTTTCTTAAAAAAATAATTAAATTGATGTGGAATTTCCAACTTTTCTTTCCTATTTATTGTGTAATTTAAATTTTTTTACTTTAAAATTTGAGGCATTAGTAGGTAATTAAAGTCAAGAAAGTGAAATTTTGTCATGTTTTTTCAATTTTTGGGTTATAAATTATTGTCATTGTATTTTTTTGTTTGTTTCGAGTTTGATTAAAAGCTAAAATTTAATTTAATTAATTTTAAATGGATAAATTAAAATTAAAAAAAGTTTTTTGAATTTTGTAATTTATTTCAATTTAACACAACAGTTTAATTTTAATTTAAATAAAAATAAAAGCGAAATTAAACACAACAGTTTAATTTAATTTTAAATAAAAATGAAAACGACAATAAATCAGGTTTAATCCATTTTTAAACTAATAGAATTAATTTTATTTCAATTAATTTTAAATACTAAACAAAAATTTAAAATATTTCTCAAAAACTTTCAGGAAAAAGGAGCAGCTGGTCTCTACCTTTGACAGGTAAATTTAAATTAAATTAAATTTTCTATGAAAAAAAGAAAAACACATAAAATAAATTTATAGCACTGAATAAAAATGTTTGACAACTAAATTTTTCCTTATTTCTCATACAAAATATAAATAAATAAATAAGATATTTATAAAAAAAATTGTTAAAGTGAAACTGACGTAAGTTAAATTGGCAACATTTCTATGTAAACAGAAAACCAAAATGGGATTTATGTTATAAAAGTATTTTCTGGTATTATGTGAAGGTAGGTACCCATATATAAAGAATGATAAAGTATTTATAGGATTATACCTTTTAGATATATATCTACAATATATGTATATACAAATTTAGTTTGTATTAATTTATATACTTATGTACATATATAATAAACATGATAATTCAAGCTTATTACCCTAAAATAATAATTGTACAACCATATTAACTACATATTAATCGACAGTTTGAGTCATTGATATATAACTACTCACAACCTATATTAACCGGCCATAGGTAAGGCATAATAAACACTAAAAAAATCAACCCACTTTATTTACAAACCACTTCATTGCATTGAATATGATGTCTCTTTTGTGAATGCTACCCTCAATTGAAAGCATTATAACTCTGTTTAATTGTCTATTTTCAACTGTTAAAATCAACAAAACTAGAGCTAAGACTGACACAATAACAGCTGAACATTGATCACACGTTCACATATTTGGGAGTTTAATTCAAAGTTGTTGTTTGTTTGCAGTCTGCATTTACTATTGTAAACTAATTTTAACATTGTTATTTGTAAACCTAAAGTAAAGATATCATTTCATTCTTACATTTTTTTTATCAAAAATTAATTCTTCGGCTTTGTAGACTTTTACATTTTTCATAACATAAAAAAAATTGTTTATTTAAAATTGGTTGTTCAAATTTACAGTTATCTGTATGTTATATAGAACAATCGCATTTTAAGTTGGAGTCTACCCGCTATTTTAAACATGGCCGTCTTCATCGTCGTTACGCGTCGCTTTCGTCATTATTATCATTGACCACTTGACCATTATCATTGGCACTGATACCCGATACATCATCATCATCATCATCATCATCATCATCATCATCATCATCTTCCCATCATCATCATCATCATTTTCACTATCATCACATTATCACCACCATCATCACCAACGCAAAAATAATCATAAAACTTTATCATCATCATCATCTATAATTTTCGTTTGAGAAAAAACTAAACAGCTCAACTCAAAATGTTAGACAAACCTCGCAAAAACTACGACAAACCAGATAATAATAACAAAAATACTATTAACAACAACAACAACAACGAAATTGATAATAACAATGATAACAATGAAGATGACAACAACAACACAAATGGCAACGCAGAAAATTGTTGCGCTAGGTTATATGTCAGATTGAAAGCATTCAGATCTTCAAAATGGTTGGTCCTCTTCATTGTATTTTTTGCTCACGTCCTTGACAACATGCTACTTACATCTGTCGGTTGGTTTTACTGATATTTTGTATATACGTTATTGTATGCATACAAATAGCCGAATAGTATGTACAACTATACAACGGTATTTTATAAATTGTATGTTTGTATTGCGTTGCGTGTGTGATGTAATTTGTTTAATATCTACAATGCTAAATACTGTGCAATGATTAAAAATTCGACTATTAAATAACAGTCCCTATTATTCCGAACTTATTGTTCCAACTTGATCAACTGGCCAGAGAAAAATCATCATCATTATCGTCGTCGTCGTCGGTATCATTATCAGGATCAGCAACATCATCATTATCATTACTAATATCATCATCATCGTCGACATCGTCACCACCAACTTCATCGTCGTCGTTAGCATCATCGGCTTCGTCATCATCATCGTCATCATCATCATCATCGTTATCTACGCCGCCATCATTACCACCCCCAAGCATTGGGGACAATAACGTAGCGATTGGTTTGATGTTCGCCTCGAATGCTATCATCCAGCTGATTGTCAATCCGATAGTCGGACCGATTACAAATAGAATCGGTTACAGCATACCGCTACTAACCGGGTTCATCGTTTTGTTTGTTTCGACTATGAGTAAGTAGTGAGTGAGTGAGTGAGTGAGTGAGTGAGTGAGTGAGTGAGTGAGAGAGTGAGTGAGTGAGTGAGAGAGTGAGTGAGTGAATGAGTGAGAGAGTGAGTGAGTGAGTGAGAGAGTGAGTGAGTGAGTGAGAGAGTGAGTGAGTGAGTGAGAGAGTGAGTGTGTGAGTAAATTTGAATGAGTTAGTGAGTGAGTGAGTGAGTGATTGTGATAACAGTCATGATGATTAAGATGATGATCAAGTTGGTGATGACACACAGATATGTGTGTGTGTGTATGTGTGTAATACACTGAGTGTGTATGTGTGTGAGGTATCATTACGACGACAATTGTATTTTTTCGTAGCTTTCGCTTTTGCTGACAGTTACACAGTGCTGTTGGTAGCTAGGACAGTTCAGGGTCTCGGCTCATCTTGTTGTAGCGTGGCAGGTTGGGTGATGATCTTGAGGGGGAAGATGAAGAAGCTGATGATGAGGATGATGATCGTGATTAGGATGATGATAGTGATGAGTATGATGATGAGTATGATGATGATGATGATGACGATGATGA